CGCTCGGATGAACTTCTTGTAATTAACAATAAACTTTTGAAGTTTAACAAATAGCAAGACAAATATCATACAAATATCAACACGAATCCCATAATCTCAGATGCACTCCTGCTCAAATCTTAATCCCATTCCCATTTTCTATTGTTTTTTTGCTGATGAGTCCCGGTGCATGAAATCCCATTTTCTCACCCAAAAATAAGCAAATTCCTGTTCCCATTTTACCCCTTCAGGACCCTCAAATAACATCGCAAGTGTTGTCTTTATAGCCCTGCGTTTCTTACGCCAATTATTTCAAGTTTGGGGTTCGACGATTGTATGTCTCATACAGTAAAACCCCCGCATAAAAGAACCAGTGAATTTTGACTTCAAGCTGAAGTGGTGCTTATATAACTGGTACTTAGAAAGAAATCAGGCTGAAGTGGTTTATAACTGGTTCTTATTTCCAGTCAAAAACAATTTTTCCTGGTTTAGAGTTTTAAACCTCTTATTGTATATAATGAAACTAGTAAATGAACTGTAATTTACTTATTTTGATAAAATAAATGCATGCATGATGTGATTGAAAGATATCATTCCTGCTAGGAAAATTACAGTATTTTGTTTTCTTCCTAGTACCTTCTTACTAATTCAGCTAAAAGTTTAATAAGTTTTTTTAAGAACCAGTTTCATTTGTCAGCCTGAAGTGGTTCTTGTATTTTGGGTGCTTAATTGCTCAAATTTCAGGCTGGTGGTTCTCAACCCACTGGTTGTTTTATGCGGGGTTTTGCTGTATCGTATAAAAATATCGTATATTTATAAGCCGCCATTTTGTTTTCAAAAGAACACAGTAACCCTAGTTCCCTAGCAAGCAAATACCAAGGGAAAACAAGGAGCAGCATGCATTCAAGGGTGTATTATTTACAGCATATTACATAGAATATTTAATTGAGCCTGTGCACATCATGTATTATGCTGTACTGATACAGAATGTGCACAGAAATATATCGCAGAAAATGAAGTTGTAAACATTTCAATATTTCTAGCCTGCGTCACAGACTTCAAAACACATGTTTTGTCATGATAAAACATGTGTTTTGAAGTCTGTGAGGCATGCTAAAAATTTCAAGCTGTAAAGGTTTAATTTTAGTTAAAAGCCTAAAAGTTGCTCAGAAATTGCTCAAAAACGAAAAAGTTGCTTCAAGTTGCTCGAACTGGAAAAAGTTGCTCCAAACGCAAAAAGTTGCTCAAAAGTTGCCGAGCACAATCCGGCCATGCCTAGATTAAACCATCACAAAAGAAACATCTTTCGGAACTGTGCTCTCAGATTATATGCGAGAAAGTTGCAAGACTTCAAGAAAAATTCTAAAAGTGCACGAGCTTGTAACGGAATAAGCCCTTTCAAGGTTTATTCCGCCATATTGCCGGGGGTACTAAACATTGGGCGAGCGCGCGGCCAAGCCATGGCTGCCATATATTTTACTAATGAATGAGCGATAATTTTGTATGGACATTCTGTTGATTTTCTCATGCTATGTTAAAAGATAGTCCAAATTTTTGTATTCTAGCTGATCTGTGTGCATTTTCGAACATTTGGTAAAGATTTCAATGGAATCTGATTGGGGGAAATCCGTGAATATGCTGATTTCTTCGACACCTTTCGGCGAGCTGTTTGTAGTGGATGCACGACAACGAAACGCCGAAAACAGGGCTTTTCGGTCTTTGTTTGTTTAAACAAAACAACATTTCAAAAGAATCATGTTTAAAAACAAGGCAACAAAGCCGTTGGGAAAAAGAAAGACGTCCAGGTGCGAGAGTGTAACCTGATACCAATGTCAATCTCACCTTTAATTATATGACATACTATAATTAGTAATTAGATATAAGAGATAAACTTCTAAAAGTAGGGGAATCCAAAGGGTATATAATATTTAACAATTACTCGCCGAAGGCGAAGTGATTACCGGTGAATATTCACCGAGAGGAAGTCGAGGTGAATATTCACCGTAATCACTGAGCCTGAGGCGGATAATTGTTTTAGTATAATTTTTTAATGAATAAAATAAATTATCCAGATATCAGTTCAATTAAAATTCAAAAATAAAGCTGTTTCCGGCCTGTTCACGGTTATTCTCACTGTAGTGTTGCAGTGTTTCTTATACGCACACGCTTTCAAAGTGGTGACTTCTTGTGTGACTTTATTGCTTTATTACAAAGTTCTTTTTATTAATTTCTGCTTAGAATATAACCACAATAACGGAATGACTATTTCACCAGACTTAGAATTAAAAAATAGTTTCTGTTTAGCAATATTTTTTTCAGGAAATGGCTGACAAAATTTGGTAAAATGAAATGTAAAACTATATCGTTCGAAATAAAGTTTTAATAACACTTTTCACTTTACAAGTTTCGAAAACACAATACAGCGGTCAGAACACCATACAGAAAAATGAAAACATGACATATCAAAAGAAATAGTATCGTACAAATTGAGAAATCTATAGGATACAAAACAAAATGGATTTAAAAGAATATCACGGTGTCTATCGTAATTAACTATATAATTAACTTAGCACTAATATACTCACTAATTTATCTCAGTAATGTATTATCATAACTTAACATAATTAACAATAGTTTTCCCATATATATTGTAAACAGAGTAGAGATGATATGTATTAAATATAAAGCAAGACACGAAAGCGGCGACAAGGATAAAAACTTAAATATCGCGAGATCGAGAGAACATCAAAACAAGATTCAGGTAACAAACTAGACCAATTTTGTCGTACAATAAGAAATGTTAAGTGATCAGTCAAACTAATCACCCGAAAGTCCCCAAGCAGCGACCAGCTAGTTCTACAACACGACAATCAGTAATACAGGGTGTCCCAAAAAAAAGTGACACTATAGAAATTATCTCATTGTTCTTAAGCCGCTCTTAAACGTGCGTGATTACACCGCTGGGAATTTAATGAGTTCACTAAATTCCCAGGGGTGTAATCACGCGCGTTTAAGAGCGGCCTAAGAACAATGAGATAATTTCTATAGTGTCACTTTTTTGGGACACCCTGTAGTACCCCGTAGTGGTTTACCGCCGTTTCCCCCGCTTTCAAATCAAACAAATACTGGTCTTAGATGGCGAAAATGGCTTCGCCGGTTTGAGAATCTCCTAATAAGCCTTCGTGAAACCGATCCAACCGTTAAAAGAGGTCTTTTGCTAACGTATGTGGGAGAAACAACGAACGATATTTTTGATACATTGCCAAGCACTGGCACAGACAATGACTCAGCTGTACAAAGTTTAACCGAACGTTTCGACCCAGCTATTAATAAGGACATGGAAATATAGGAATTTCGTCAAATCAAATTACTCAATCATCAGGAGAAACACTCAATGAATTTTACCGTCGTTTAAAGGAAAAAGCCAGTACATGCGAATTTGATAACGAGGAAGCAGAAATACGAACACAAATAATACATAAAACATCGGATGCACGCCTTCACCGTAAAGCTCTACGTGATGAGCCAGATTTAAAAGCATTATTAAAATACGGGCTTACGTTAGAACAAACAGATCGTCACAGCAAATTACTAGAAGAGGACAAAAATACGCCTTATAGACAAACAAATTTTATCAAAGACAATAATTGGCAAGAACACCAGAGGGGACATAATTCCTAGGGTAATAACACCTGGCACAACGCACCAGCAAAGCAAAGTACGCAAAATGTCGCAATTGTGGCAGTTCTTATCCACACGTCGGAGGAAAATACTCATGTCCAGCCGCAGGAAAAAGTGTTTCGAATGTGGGAAATGGGTCATTTTGGAAAACATTGCTTGTCGAAGCAACGACAACAAACACGCCCATCAAGTCACAATCATCAACAGCGGAATAATCGAAAGGAAATTTGTGGTAAGTGTTGAAGAAGAATTTGATGATGATGATGAAGAATTTAGTTATACTATCATGGCATCAACGAAAACACCACAAACAACGATCAAGATTGCAAACGTGCCTGTCCCAACAATAATTGATACAGGATCATCTGTGAACATTCTCAATTATAAACACCTCAAGAAAATCAATCAGCAAAACCCAGGTATTCAACTGCAACCAACAACAACAAAGGTATTTGCTTATGGAGCAAAACAACCACTTCATCTCCTTGGCAAATTTACTGCAGACACTCAATACCATTCGAAAACAACAACCAGCATCTTTAATTTCTGGTAACGAAAGATAACACCTGTATTGAGTTACAACACTTCCACTGCTCTTGGACTACTCAATATCAACATCAACTCCATTTTCACCGACCGTCCAGATCCTAGAATTGCACAGATCCTGTAAAAGCATCACAAAGTGTTCCAAGGGATGGGAAACCTTAACAATTGCAAAGTCAAGTTAGAAATCTACCCAACTGTTTCCCCCGTCGCTCAGAAAAGCCGACGACTGCCTCACAGCATGCGAAAGAAAGTGAATCAGAAACTCCACGAGATGGAAGAGCAAGGTATTATTGAAAAGGTGAAAGGAGTGACTCCATGGCTATCACCTCTAATACCCATACCAAAGAAAGGCGGAGACCTTCGACTTGTTCTTGACACGAGAATCCATAATCAAGCCCTCAAACGACGCCGAGTGCAATTCTCCCCACCGTAGACGACAACTTACACAAAATGGAGGGTGCAACAATTTTCACAGAAGTAGATCTTTCTCAAGGCTACTTACAAATATCATTGGCTGAAGAATCACGCCCCTTGACTGCATTCCAAACACCAGACAATGGACCATACAAGTTCCAACGTCTCATCATGGGTGCTGGTCCGTCCGGAGAGTATTTCCACAAGATCATACACAACATGATCAAACACATCCCGAACTGTCAAAATATATCGGAAAACATTTGGCTATGGTCGAAAGACATAACCGAACATATCAAGCAACTTGACGAGCTCCTTCAAACCATGGAAAGTAGTGGTCTTACCTTGAAATTCCCCGAGAGTTATTTGCAGTTCCAGAAATGAACGTATTCGGTCATAAATTTTTGAGCCGAGGAATCCACCCTGACAAGAAAAAAATCGAATCAGTAGTCAATGCCCCAGCTCCAAAAACAACAGCAGAAGTATGCTCCTTCCTTGGTGTCGTCAACTATTGTTCGCGATACGTCAAAGATTACAGCACAACTACCTACCCCCTTCAACAGCCGTTAAAAGAGAAAACCAAGTTCCATTGGGGAGAGGAACAACAAAGCAGTTTCGTGAAATTAAAGGATGCCATCACCAGAGCCCCAATCCTAGTTCATTATTCCATTTCAGCACCAACTCGAATAGTCGTGCACGCATCACCTTGGGCTGTTGGCGCAGTGCTCCTCCAACAACAATCCGATTGCACCTACCGCCCAATTGCATTTGGAAGTCGTTCTCTTACCGAAACCGAAATGAAGTATTCACAAATTGAGAAAGAGGCGTTAGCCGTTGTATTTGGATGCGAACACTTCCATATATACTTATATGGCAAGTCCTTTGAAATGGACACCGATCACCGCCCACTTGAGTACATATTCAAACCCAAATCAACCGGAAAACCAGCGCCAGCACGAGTAGAAAGATGGTTACTTAGATTACAGGAATACGATTTTACCGTGATATACAGACCAGGTCCACAAAACCTAGCTGATGCACTTTCTCGGTTACCCAACAAGATCCCGATAAGTAATATGGAAAGCTGTGCAGATTGATATGTCCAGTACCTCGCAGAGTAGTTAACGCTTATTGCCATGAACACTGAAGGGATCCAAAAACACTCGAAAACTGACCCTGAATTGATTCAAGTTCGACAATGCATCGAGTACAACCAACCCCATAAGCTTCCACCACAATACAAACCCATTGAACAAGAATTGAGCATCGCAGACAATATCATACTACGTGGCAATCGAATTATCCTGCCAACAAAATTGCGAAGCAAAGCAATCAAATTAGCACACGAGGATCATGCCGGTATGACGAAAACGAAACAACGCATCCGCTCTAAGTTATGGTGGGCCAACATGGACAAGGACATCGAACAACACATTCGAACATGGCATGTCATCCTTGCCAAATCGTAGGAAAACCAGACAGATCAGAACCGGTACAATCTATCAAGCTTTCAGATTAACCATGGACAGAGCTTGCAATTGATGTATGCAGTCCATTCCCTACAGGAGAATCAGTGGCGAAGCCAACGGTCATGCAGGTCATGCAGTGCATGACTAAAAATTTCCCCCCAAAATGTTTAAAAATCAGTTCAGTATAATTGTTTACAATAGAATTATACTTTATCTTTGCACTTCTACGCTTAAGTATTTTATTTATTATTTTGTTTACCCGAATCAGTGGTCTTTAGGTCGATATTTTCGCTAAATATTCTCGTATGTTATTGATTTTGGCTTTGTTACCTTGGCAACTGAGCGGTTCTGCATATTTTCACATGCATGACCGGTTGCGTAAGCGCGTGGAAAACAATTGCGTGTGATTGCTGCGTGGTTTGCTCGCTGTGTGTTTTGGTCATGCATTTTCAGAATTTCATGACTAGCTATATTATTTTATATTAGGTTTGTTGGTTTCTGATTGGCTTACGACGTTCGCGCACGCGCAATGCGGCTGTTTTTGACGCCTTGGTCACAGAATAAGGCACACAGAAGGGCCACTTACGACCCTGGCCGCCATCTTCCTAGCCAGTCGATTACATTTTCTGGCCAATGAACGCGCTGTATTGGCTGGCCGCCATCTTCCTAGCCAGTCAATTGCATGTTTTTGCATAGAAAAATGGGGACACGTTCCACCGCTGAGTGGCCCTTCTGGTACTGATCTTTATTCTGTGCCTTGGTCATGCAATTTTCGATTTGCATGACTAAACACAGGAGGCCCAGGCTCGATTTGCCCGCGCCCGCCTGTGCCTTCCTTATAACGAGGGAAGGAAGGAGACATTGAGACCAAAATAGCCCAGACTTGCATATGTCACACGAAACTATCCTCGATTTTTCACCTTTAAATGCATTTCTTTCACGATTAGTC